TTTCCTCTATCAGTGATGAATAAAATGTGGTTCTGGCACTACGAAGGGCACATCGATGTATCGGAATGTGTTTTCAGCTGTAGAAAACCTATACATTTGAGTTTTCAGTGTCCCATTAAACCCCTCAACATCCAATACTTTCAAATCAGACACTGTAGGGTGTGTGTACATGTGTTATATCATGTTTATTCATAAGTTTTGAAAATTATGCACTAGGAAATCCTTGCTATACTAAGTTGATTTTTCCCTAAACACATCATTTTATTTTAACAAAAGACAGACACACAAATGCATTAGATTCAAACTGTTTTTCTTCCACACCAGCAGATGGTGCAATAATAACACACTCTGAATCAGGCTCACATTGTCTATGAAACACCACCAGATGATGCAACACTTGTTCAAAAGATTTTGTTCAAAAACACACAGTTCAGAATCATGACAACACAAATCAAGTGAGAGACAATAACTGCATCAACAGAGCGATGTAACTGTGCTCTATGAGAAATCTAAGCTAACAACGCCAGACAGATTGCATGTTTGCATTTTCACCACGAGCAAATTTAGAAACAATCACATCGATCGTCACAGATAAAACTGATTAAATCAGTGAAAATGAAACGTGAATTGGGAGCATGCATCTCCATGCACAGTTCAAACAGGAAGTCAGGGTTGTTGATTTGAGAAAATACTACTGCACTGTCCTGGAAAGCAGCAGAATACAGCTGTACGCGTGGTGCCAACAGCTGGTTCAGCCCCACACTGACCTGCCAGAACTGTACTCCCATGTGTTTCCTGAGTCCAGCTGTGGAAACTCTGACCATGGGTCCACTGAGCTGGGTTACATAACTGGTTGCATCACAGAAACAGGGTGCAGCTGTTTGAGGGAATTCACTCCAGTTCCACTGAGTGTCTACTACTGTTTCTACTTCAGCTCCATTAACAGTGTGGGCCTTCCTGCCCTGAGCTGGGCCTTGCAGGCACATACTGGTGCAGGAGCATGGCTGCATATGACAGTCGACAGTGAGTCGGGGTAAATTTGCTCTAGCCGGATCAAGATTTCGCTGAAAAAACGTCATCTCAGGGCCACTTGACTTCACCTGACAAGTGGAGATGGGTGTTTGAGCTTATCTGGCTTTGTATCATCATAAACTCTCACAGAGCTGCAGGAGCAAAGGTTGATATCGGTCACAAACAGGCAGGAAGCTGGAAGCTAAGGCTGTGGGGCACATTAGATGATGTGAGGGAAAAGAGAATGAGGGAATTAATGAGGGGAAAGTGTGCAGTGGATGCTGGGATCAGGTGAGAACACACAGGGAAGCTGCAGGTGTAATTTATTTACTGTTTATTCTGGTTTAGCCTATTTTTCTAGTTTAGTCTTTTAAAATTGGATTTCTACTGATCTGAATATCGTCTCCTGTCAGAGGCTTTGCCCCAAAATTAATCTCAGCAAGTAGAAAATGCAAAGGTAACTTGTCTGACTCTTGTTAGTGCATTTTGTTTGTGTATTCAGTGACATGGAGGCAGGAGAACATACACTGGGGGCAGAGAAGTAGAGGACAGCTGATATCATTTCTCACCATTTCAGAAAAGTGTGAAACCGTGGAAACCTGCAGACAGAGACAACAGACAGCGCTGTGTACTTTCTGTAGTCATATCATTAGACCAGCTCGTGTTCTCACTTCTGTTAATTAACCTTTGTCTCCGTCTGCAGGAAAATAAATCGGCCCATCAGTGGAGACTTGTGAGACTTAACAGCTCTGACTCTGCTTTTCCTGTAAAAACAGAGAAGAGTGAAGCTGCCAGCCGAGAAGAAGTAGTGATGTAAGGTCCCTGCAGAGCCGCCGCCAGCATGTGAGAAAGCAGAGAAAACACCCAGCTGGTTACACAACAGCAGCTTCCCACTCGGAGGTTAACGCTGAGAGCTCTGCTAACGCTCAGCAGACAGTGACCAGTCAGAACTTTATTTGGTACATCTCCCACTACAGTTCCACCAGTACAAATCAACCACTGAGCTGCACAGAGATGCTGATTAGAGTTGTGTGGTTCAGTTTTCAGAAATCAGATGCAAGTTCAATTAAACACATTTCATTGCTTTGTATCGTTAAACTGGCACAGGCCACGAGAGCTGGAAGCATCAACTGATCAGCTCGACCCAACCCTAGAGAAAAGCTGCTCGAGTGTCTTCCCACTGTAATCACTGTTAATTAAGTCAGTTCCTGCACATGACATGAAATGTTTTTGGGCGCAGATTTGCAGAACAACCTCTGTTTGCAAGTAACCCATGATTCTGACACTAAGTATGTCTGGAAGGATCCACTGTGGGAAACTGAAGCTGGACAGAAACACTGGCTTCGTCACTGGGTGGTGCTCACACAGATGTGCTGATTAGTGAAGATCAGCACCACCGAGCAACATCTTCTCTTTAATAATGATTTCTAAGTCTGGAGGTATGTTGTTTGTGTGAGGGAGGGGGGTAATTGAACCAAACTATAATCTGGATTTACTTTTTCCTTTGTTGTCTCTGTCGTTTAAGATGATACTGTGAATATAACACCCCATAGTCCACTACTTATTGTTATGCATATGTAGCAAGAATGTGCTGGCAAAAAAAGGTCTTAATCTGATCTGGATTTTATCTGACAGTGGGAACAAGGTATAAAAGTTATTTCAGGGAAAACCTGTTTAGAACTAATGTAGCAGTTTGAAAAAAGGTTTCTGTTAAGGAGAGAAAGTTTCTAGAAGGTGTATGGTCCTACGATGATGGTGAGGCGGAGCAGAGAGCTGGAGCGATAACTGAGAGCTGAGTTCTGCGTTACCATTTCCAGGTCCAGGACGTGCTCTCTGGGACCAATCAGAGGCCGCGTCATCACCAGCATGGCGCTCACATTACTGGATCGCTGCAACAACCAATCAACAGTCAGAGATCTGAGAAAGGGTTATTAAGTTTTAGAAACAAGGGAGATGAGATGACATGAAATGAGATAGGATAAATTAATATGACATGAAATGAAAAAAGATGACTAAATATTAAAGTTAGGACATTAACTGAGAGATCAGCTGATATTTGTCAAATAACACAAATAAGACAGAGATGAGATTATAAAATAATTGATTAAAAATAATTAGATTTAACTTTATTGTCATTACCCGTGTACAAGTACAAGGCAACGAAATGCAGTTTAGCATCTAACCAGAAGTTCAATAACAGCAGTGCAGAGTGTGAGTATCTACAGTCTGTACAATGAGAACTAATTTACCTATAAATATGTACAATTGATATTTATAGTAGGATATGTGGGGTAATGTACGATGTACAGTAATGGACAAGGTACATTAAGCTTATGGAACACTAGTGCAATGGGATGAGGTGGAATGAAATAACATGAAATAGTGCAGAATAAAAAGATAACAGTTAGCAGTAACTTACATGGGATCCAATCAAAGTTATGCACAGTGAAAGGAGATTAACCCAGATTAAAGGAAATAACATGAAACCTGCAGTGAATGTGTCACGTTAAGATAATCTGAACTGAGATGTACTGAATATCTGTATAAACATTACTCAGACTGAGATAGAATGAGGTGACAGACCTCACTTTTGCTTTCTTAAATATTAAGGTTTAACATTTTGGATTGACCGAGGGTACTGTAGTTGTTCACTAATAAAAATAATACACACAGTGTATATGGAGAACAGACTGGTGATATGTGGATGAGAGTTGCAGCTCACCCTGAGGAAAAACTGCCCATCCTCGTTGCCGGCTTTGATCCTGAAAGTGTTGAGCATGCTGGGGAGGACGCTGGTGGCCTGGATCTGGAAGATGTCGGCTGGAACCGAGCGCTCCGACGTGATGCTCATGTACTTATAGACAATGGATGGAGGAAGTCCTCTGCACGCGCTCGGAGACTGGCAGCTGCATCGACTGTCAGAGACACATCAACTCTGAGCTGACAAAGGTCACAGGCTGACATCATATTGGGATTATGTTGGAAGCAAGTGTTTTCACTTTAATGTGCAATACTTAGGATTTGTATGTTTCTAATGCATAAATAAATCATATCACATCATGTCAACAAGCCTCACAGGTACCATTTCCACAGTCACCCAATCAGAGCATTCCAGACCTGTCAGGGTCAAACCAAAGGCTGAGCTAGAACCTGTTGGATGAAACCTTAAAACTGAACCAATTTGTTTTTAGACTTTATAGTCAATTTTCAATTGACCTAAAAGTAGCTGAAGGGTCCTTTGGATGCCTTAGCTACTGGCTAAGGCTCTAGATTACTCTATTACTCTAGATACTACATTAACCATGGGCTTCAGTGGTTGTTGCTATGGAGACAACATCTCCTACTGGATGCCTTAGCCCGTAGCTAAGGCATCCAAGATCACTGTAGCTGTACTCCTTGCTGCCAAGGGTTTTTTTTTACTGTGTTCTGGGCATTTGCTAGGAAAGTAATAGAGGGTTCCTAAAACTATCTGATAATGTATTTCTACATGTTTGTTACTGAGTGGTTGTCGGGGGCTTACTAGTTGTCAGAGGGTTGCTAAAGTGTGTAAGTTTGATCCAACTCTGATGTGATGTTGTCTCCTTAGCAACAACTACTGAAGCCCATGGTTAATGTAGTATCTAGAGTCATAAACCAAAGCGAACCCAGGGTCTGGATCAGTGATCACTACTGCCGAGTGACAAATCTAAATCGAGGGTTTACTCAGAGAGGCCAAACTGGTCCTGAACCCTCTGTTGGAGCTAAACAATTCGGTTCTCACACTGAAACCATTAAAGGGAGCTGGGTCTCACCCCTCTCCAGTCTGGATGTAAGGCTCCTGGCAGGGGTTTCTGGGATAGCAGCGGTAACCTCCAAAGTAGTTCCAGCACATCTGGTCCTCTCGGCAGTTTGGTCCCGTTTCACACTCATTAATGTCTGTGAACAAAACCACAACACACCGGGTCACCGCAGACCTGCATCTGTGTCAGGTCACAGCTGGTCCTCAGTGAGAATCAGCTCTTCTGCTGGAGGACAACCATCTGATTTCCGTGGTAGTCGGCCTTCTCTCTCTGCCTGTATGTGAAGTGCCCTGAGATGCTGGTGTGAATGGAGCTATAAAAACAAAACTGCATTGAACTGAACTGTGGACCAACAGTTCAGCACATGGAACTTACTTTTTATCATACACTGAATTTTATTCTTTTCATCTGATTGTAAACACTCACTATCCTGTAAAACACTGGATTTAATATCATACATCTGATGGTTTCCTGTATCTGGTGGCACTGCTGCTATGGGGTGGGGACTAGGAGGCAGCATTTCCTCCAGCAAGCCTCCTTGAAGTCGTGCTAATGACCAGTTAAATATTGAATTTTTCACCAGTGAGCTGCTCTCAGCAGCCGAGGTGTGCCACTGTCCTTGAACACACCTCCAGTTCACACAGTGCCTAAACCCTGACACTCTCTGTGAGCTGCCTTTCACAGAGATGAAATGAATACAGTGACAGATGGAAGGCGTGTGATGTGTTTAGACCTGAGCAGTGTTTTCCTGTCAGCTGACCGCAGCGTTTACCTTGGCACATGCGTGTTCCCTGGAGCTCGTAGCCCTCAGGACAGACGCAGCTGTAGGAGCCAGGCTGGTTCACACACTGCCACTGACACACGTAGGCCGAGAGCAGACACTCGTCTACGTCTGATCACAGCAGCAAACAGCGGGTGATAAAAGTTAGAGGTCAAATCCACAGCAGTTACCGAACCAGAGCAGGTCAGGGTCTTGTTAGACAGACAGCAAACAATAACAACAACATGCATATGTGTGCGTTCAGACCATGGCAGTTGAGCTGGTCTGGACTCAGTTTATAGCCCTGCTCACACTGGCACAGGAACGAGCCCAGCAAGTTGTAGCAGTGATGCTGACAGGGGCTGCTGGGAGCACACTCGTTCACATCTGCAATAATGACACACACACCATTAACACCACACCACTGAATCTAAGGATCTCACTGTCTTCAGACAAACCATCAGTCACAACCTGAAACCGTCTGGTTTATCAGGACCCTTCGGTCTGGCTTCCTGTAGGCAGTGCTCGGGGTGATGGTGGAGCTCAATCAAATGTTTCAGGTCTGATTCCCTAATCTGTGTGTGAATGTGTAGCCTGTCCTCCTACAGGGTTTTGGTCTGGAGGGGCGGTCATGTGGCCTGGGTGTGTTGGAGGCTCCTGGAAGTTGTCTTGTCCTCCTGGATCATGTTCCTGATATGTTTATATAGTGTTCCTCATACAGCGCATGTTACAATATACGGTTTTGTCATTCTGACTGGTCACACTACAACCCTATCATATTGATTTGTTCTGTACACATGACACCTATTTCCTGTCTGGCTCCCAGTGCAGTGGTTTCATGGAGGCTAAACTACTTTGATGGAACATCTGAGTCCTATTGCCAGAACTTGTGGAGCAGGAACTCACCTCTGCACAAGTTGAACTCGTCTGCAGCGAATCCAACTGGACACCGGATGGAGGCCAGCCTCACCTGGTTGGTCAGGTAGCTGCTGCGGGGAAGCGGTACAACGGGGTGGGGGATGAGGTGTGGAGCAGGGGGACGGGTGGTGGTGGTGGGCTCTTCCTCTCCATTGCCGATGATGATCTGCGCATTCTGCGGCAGACAGAAGTATCCGCCATAGTGGTTGATGCAACTCATCCCTCCTTTACAGGCGTCTGGCAAGGTCTGGCACTCGTTGACATCTGGGAAATGTAGTCCATTGACAGTGAACAGGAAACGGAGCACGCAGAGCTTCAGTCTCCGTCAAACCACAGCTCTTCATGATCTCATTTGAGTTTATTTTAAACCACAGCTGAAAAAATGTAATGGTTTTCACATGATGCTCATCCAGTGACAGATATAAAAGTCGACTGAATTATTGATAACTGACCAACTGTTAAGTGATGACCTCAGCAGCTGTTTGTTTGTTTTATCATTTATTTTTCAGATTTTCTTTGTCATGTTTGAAGTTTCATGTGGAGAGAAGAACAGATTTTATAAAGAGCAAAAATTGAGTGTTTTGACTGAAAAGGTTTTTCTGATTTAAATTTCACAGTTTGATATTTTTCTTTCACTCTGAAGCTTTAAAGCTTCTATAATGTTGAAGTTTGGTCTCGCTGACACTCACCTTTACACTCCTGTTCTTCCTCACTGAACTCGTAGCCCTCCGTGCACTGTCAGAGAAGCTCAGGCAGATTATTGATCAAACAGATACTGATCAGCTGAGTTATTAACCAGACAAGTGAAGTCTCATACAAAACATAACCCAGCAGAGTTACTAGGCTATTTTATTTATACAGCACATTTTCATACACAAAGGCAAATCAGACTGAACTTGATGCAAACAGATAAAACATGACGGCACAAAGCAGCAACATGCACGTGTAGATACCCAGTACCGCTCTACAGCTGTGGCAGACTGGGGGTTCTCTGGACACCGTGTACCCCTTCAGTTCCAAGACCATCCTCTGACTGGTCTACACCAGACACAGGTGTACTTTGCTCTGGAACGTGAGACACCAGTGTCTATACAGTCAGCTAAACAGCACACTGAGTAATGGAACAAAGATCAAGTAGATAAAGTGGAAAACTGAGAAGAATTAAGGAACATTCATTAAAAGCAGTGGAGAAAAGAAGAGCCTTTAGTTTAGTCTTAAACATGGCTCCAGTCAGTGCAGATCCCAGTTCCACTGGGAGCTGGTTCCAGCTGTGGGCAGCGTCATGGCTAAAGGCACTTTCACCTTATGTCTAAATTACCTTTTATGTCTAAAGTTTGAGAAAATTGTCTTTATCCAACTCCAGTCTTTTCTGATAGATAATGGCATTGAGGAGCAATTTCAATCTGGTTTTAAATCAAAACATAGTACTGAGTCTGCGTTATTAAAAATCAGTAACGATATCCTGTTGGCTAGGGACGCTGGGGATTTGGTTTTATTGGTGATTTTAGATCTCATTGCTGCCTTCGATACAGTGGATCATGGAATCCTCTGATCTCGTTTGGAGCAGTGTGTAGGAATTCAAGGTACTGTTTTTAACTGGTTCAGATCAGATCAGAGGTTTGACAAGCAAATCAACTCAGTTGTGAAATCTAGCTTCCTCCACCTGAGGTAAGTAAAGTCAAGTCATTCCTTTCTCTTAATGATTTTCAGATTGCAATCCATGCTTTTATCACTTCTAGACTTGACTATTGCAATGCTCTACATTATGGTGTTAACCAGTCTTCTCTTACTCGTCTCCAAATGGTGCAAAATGCTGCTGCTCGTCTTTTAACAAGTACCAGAAAATTCGACCATATAACCCCGTTACTGGCTTCTCTCCACTGGCTTCCAGTCTGTTTTTAGAATAAATTTGAAACTGTTGATTTTTGTTTTTAAGGCTCTTAATGGTTTGGCTCCATCTTACTTCACTGAATTAGTGCACTGGCACAAACCTACCAGGTCCCTCAGATCTTCAAGCCAGTTTCTTTTAGAGGTTCCAAGGGCCAGATATAAACGCTGGGGTGACCGTGCTTTTACTGTTGCAGCCCCTAAACTGTGGAATAGTCCACCTTTTAATGTTAGGTCAGCTACTGCCCTCAGTACTTTTAAATCATTGCAGTATTTGCCTTGGCTTTTAATGCACAGTAGGGCCTGATGCATTCCTTTTAATTCAATTAAATTTATTGAATATGTGTCATAGGATAAGGGTAATCATCTTTATTAGCCAAGTATGCTACACACAAGGAATTTGTTTCCAGTACAGAACCGATGGCAGCCATCTGCGGCACCAACTCAACAGAGAGCTCTAACCATCCGGGGCAACGTCTCTTGCCCAAGGACACTTCAACACGTGAACTGCTGGCACCAAGATTCAAACCTTCAACCTTCTGGTTGGGAGACAACTGCTCTACCCACTGAACCACTGTCGCCTCCCCCAAAAAATGAACTATCATGCCGTCACAGGGGAAGGTAACCCCAGCTTGTCATGCCACAGCCAGTGGAGTTACCCACTGTGTTACACAGCCACTATCATCTGTGTGTCTGTGTTATTGTGCTGTTTTATTTTTGCACTGAACTTATTTATTTTAGTTTAGTTTTTTATTGTGATTTTATTCTGCCATGTAAAATACTTTGGTCAACTGGATGTTGTTCTTAAAGTGCTATATAAATTAATTTGATTTGATATGGTTTAGTGGAGCTCTGGGCACCACCAGCTGACCAGTCCCTGCTGATCTGAGAATTCACACTGAATTCTATATTTAACTGGAAGCCAGTGCACAGATCTAAGGACTGGAGCAACGTGCCGTCTGTTCCTGGTGTTTGTCAGCGCAGCAGCATTTTGAATGAGCTGCCTCTGATGGTCTTGTTGGGGAGGCCAGTCAGCAGTGCGTTACAATGGTCTGCCCTCTCAGAAACAAAGGCATGAGGGGGCCTTCAGTCCTGCTTAGACAGAGAGCTTCTCACTGTGGCTGTTTTTAAGATGCCAGAATGACGATTGTGTTACAGCTTTGACGTGGCCATTGACATTAAGATCTTCATCAATGGTTACAACAAGATTCTGACACAGGTGTTACAGTGTCCTGGGCTTAAGGTAGTCACTGACCACCAGCCTTCTTTCTTTATTTTCTAAGAATGATTTCCATTTTGTCTTTGTTTAGTTGAAGGAAATATTGTTGCAGCCAGTTTTTCACATTTTTAAGACATAAGTCTATAGAACCACAGTCATTCATTGAGAGCTTTAAGTATATCTGGGTGTCGTCCCCATAGCTGTGAATCAGCAACACTACATTTCTGGAAAATTCAAGAAGCAGAAGCATGTACAGCTTGAATAGGAGGGGTCCAAGAATAGATCCTTGTGAGACACCATACGTCATGGTGGTTCTTGCAGATTCATAATTAATAAAAGTATTAATTATGTTGTGCTTTAATGTATGATCTGTATCCCTTTATTGGATCATGTACATAATGTTACAGCAGGTACGAGTTAATTTTACCTTGCTTGCTTTGAATTAGGTTACGTAATATGTGTTAAATTCCACCTTGGATCAATAAAGACATGATCTGAAAAGTTATGAGTGTAGCAGGGTTAAACATGCACTGATGTCATACTAGCAGGAAATCACAGTCGGGAACAGAAAGTACCTGAGTTTCATTATATGCATGAAAACACATAAAAATCCCTAAAGTTTTGAACTAAAAGGGTTCATCTCTGTTTCTCCTGTTGCCTGGTGATTCAATGGTTGGAAATACTTTGTCTTTGTCTGTAGCTGATGCCGACATGAGCATGGTGCTGGTGTTTTGGTCCTTACCGAGTAGGTGGCAGGTTCTTCCACCTGCTGAGCTGAAACCATCACGACAAAAACACCCAGGAGGAGGAAAACCTGTAGCGTCTCCATCCTGAAACAATAATACACACTCTGTTTTACAGCGGGGCTGCAACTGATCATTTGTTTCTCATCAACCAATTAATTAATAACAGCCTTTCTTTGCATGTTCTGTCTGCTTGTGTGGGTTGACAGTGTGGCTGTGTGTCAACCAGAGGTGGAGCCGGGTTTCTGCACAGAGGGAGAAGCATAAAAATCATCTGGGTGAAGGCAAGACAGGCCTGACTGTAGGTCACGTTTATGGCTGGTTTTGTGTTTCCCACATGTTGGTAGCTGCCAGTCATGATGAACAGTGAGTGTGAGGCACAGCGGCTGTGGATGGTTCTGGTGTTGTTGGGTCGTTTCCCCATGCACAAGAGAAACCTGACTAGAGTTACTGTCAGTCTGGTCTGACTCAGCTCTGGACATCACTGTCAAATATGTGACAGTGACTTGTACTTTAAAATGGCAGGAAATACATTTTTTATGCAGTCTGTTCCTTTTCTGATCTTTTAACAGTTTACTAACAACAGCAGTTTAGAGAAAAAAGAAACTGGATTAAACAAGAATACAATTCAACTTTGAATACAAGGTTGTGAATTTGACTTAATGAGCAGGATGCAACAGCTCCTGAACATATGAATAAACTAATTCGTTCAAATTATTTTATGACTTTTATTGGCCAAGTATGTTACACACAGGTAGTTTGTTTCCAGTACAGAAATGAGGCAGCTCACACACCGATGGCGGCGCTGACCTGGCCATCGGGAGCAACTCACGGTTCAGTGTCTTGCCCAAGGACAGTTCAACATGTGGACTAAGGAGAAGAGCCACCAGCCTAATGGTTAGGGGACGACCTCTTTACCTCCTGAGCCCCAGAGGCCCCAAACGGTACAGAGCTGTGAATTCTACACAAAATGTAAAACCCAAATAACCTTTTTTAATGGAAAACAGATTAGAAACCTACACTGGAAAAGGGGAAAACCAGAGCCTTCTCAGCGTGCTGGGATCTTCAGATTTAGTTTGAGGAGGGGTCTAAACGGTTCTGCTAATATCCATTACAAGATCACACATTTTGATATTATCTTCATCATTACAGCAGGGAAACCAAAAGGCTGGGTTTCAGCAACAAGCCACAGAGGTCCCGAAAGCTGCTAAGAATAAAAACAACAAAAAAGAAACAGCAAATTAAAATGGCACTGCAATTAGTCCTCAGTTTCAGGTTCCATTTACCTGCGACACACTCACACTGTAAAGTCTGAACCTTTATCCAGTACAGGGAACCCGGACTAAGTGCAGACCACCACAGATCCTAGGTCCGTCTCTCGTCGCTGATCTACAGCAGGATCTTCGTACAGGTGCCACTCAGGTGTCCCTGGTCCAGGAGAACACTGCGACGTCAAAGTGAAGCGGTCTTACCTGGACTCTCCAGTGTCGGTCTCTGAACCGTCTGATCCGGAGCTGGAGGAGGGAAGGCGTGCGGGCGGACGCAAGGAGTCTGTGCTCCTGGAGCCCGCCTGCTGCTCCTCCGCTGCACAGACCGGAGCGGTGCCGCCCCCTGCCGTTCACCGCAGTATTTACTGCGAAATAAAGTAAACACGTGAATGAAAATGTCCCTGTCCCCTGCCTTCGCACAAAGTCACGAAACAAGTGCATGATGCTCTGAGCTCCTTTCCTCTTTACACTTCCTGTTAAATTTTGTACTTTGAAATACTTTTTATTACCACGCAATGTCATGTAATAAAAGGAAATGATATAATAAAATGACCAGGAAAGATTACATTTACCACTTCTTGGTATATTCTAGTGAGTTTTCTTTTTTAAGGAAACTGAAACTTATAGAGACTTAACAGAACTACATACACTGTGTACACTGCTGGTAGTTTAATCTATAATACCTGCAGCTCTCTGACAAACGTAGTGCAAAGTATTATAGTTTATTCTGGAAGTAGGAAGGTATTAGGCAAAGTAAAATAGAAATACTAAAGTAAATTATAATACCTCAAACTAGTGCTTTCCTACAGTACATGAGTAAAAGTACTTGTTACTTCTAACACAGTAAACACAGTCACATGTACATATTGAATCTATTCACCTGCTGAGTGTTTACTGTATCATCAATCTACTGGCCAATCAGAGAGCTGCTGTTTACCCTGTGTGACCTCTGAGCCCTGCTGAGTCCTGCTGGGGAGCTGAACCAGGATCAGGACTCTATATTTACCCCAGATTAAGTGCAGATACAGTGGCTCTTCACAAACAGCAGCAGCTCCCATTTGGCTCAGACATGTCGTTGGACAGTAGCTCAGCTGCCGCCACCCCCCCCTGGAGGAACCACAGCTTCATCTTGAGGGAGGGCAGAGACCCTCCTCTGTCAGACCAGGGAGAGACCATCATTGGAGTCTACCTTCTGCTCTTGGGTGGGTACATGCACTGTGACACTGTACTAAGTACATGGTAAGAGTACACTGCTCAAACTGCTTCAGGGACAAAGTTTTAAAAAAGACATTCACAGCCGCTCTTTTATCACATGATCTGCTGGGATTATAAGGCTCTACGAGGTCTTTAAGATATGATGGAGCCTTGTCATTAAGGGCTTTGTATGTTAGGAGAAGGATTTTAAATTCTATTCTGAATTTTACAGGGAGCCAGTGGAGAGAAGCTAATATGGGAGAGATATGATCTCTCTTGCTAGTTCCTGTCAGTACTCTGGCTGCAGCATTTTGGATTAACTGGAGGCTTTTTAGGGAATTATTGGGACATCCTGATAGTAAAGAGTTACAGTAGTCCAGCCTGGAAGTAACAAATGCATGGACCAGGTTTTCAGCATCACTTTGAGACAGGATGCTCCTGATTTTTGCAATATTGCGCAGGTGAAAGAAGGCAGATCTAGA